TGCAGCCCTATCCCGACGTAATCTTTAACAGTCACACAATTTCGCCACTGCAACATGTCCATGCCAAATCGGTCATAAGCAAATCGTTTGGCTGGATCGACGAGGGTGTCTCGGGCCATGGTGAGATGGACGAAATACGCATCCGCTGAAGCCCGCGCATCGGGAGAGGTGACTTTATCCGGATGGTGGATGATAGTGCTGGGCTTATCGTTAACCATATTCTAACCCAGGCTTTTTTGGAAGCGCTAGAAAGACACACAGCCTCCTAAATCGCGTCTGAATAGCCTTCTCATCGGCATCAGTTGGGACGCCCAGTGCCTGGTAAAAATCGCCGGCCCGGCGAATCTGCCAATCTGCTTCATAGACCGAGTACGCGAGGTAGGCAAGAATGACTAGGGCATGTATTCGCCGCCGGTGTTTGACGAACTGAGAGGAGCCTGGCCTAGGTCGGGGGTCGCCGGCGCGGATAGTAATTCCATAGTAAATGGACTGCAGATATCCCACGGCCTACAAAGGTCAGCCACGTCGCGGCTCCTGGCCGAAAGACACATACCGTGGGAACAAAGTACCAGCCGGCGAAGGAGAGGACTTGGTTCATCGTGACAAAAGGACTGGGGGGCAGGCGGAGTCCAAAGCGGAGCGTTGATAGGTTATGTGAGATAGGTCATGGCGAGTGGGCAAGCTGCGCAGGGAAAAATGCGACTCTGTGAGGAGATTGAAAGGACCGACGTCAAGCGAAGAATCATACGAAAGAACAATGGGAAGCCAACAGCATCTGCGAGTCAGGGCTCAAGGGCAGAAACGCGGAAACACAGGTATGTGCATACAGTACCGGCGCTAGGTACACGTGGCTCAAGTACTCTTCGCGCATTGCCAAGCCACAACGACCACAGCTGCGCGCACCGCCACACAGCCTCCGGCTCCCACTCTCCAAACTTTTTCTTTCCCTCGCGGTCCGAATCGCTGACCAACAAAAAATACTTGGCCACTCAATTCAACACCAACATCATGGCTTCGGCCATAGCCAGCCCAGAGGTCTCAAATCGCAAGAAGCGCAAAGAGCACAAGAAACGCAAGAAACATCATCATGACTCTGAAAAGAAAAGCTCTAAAAAGCGCCGCAGAGAAGAGCTTGACGAGCCCGCCGCCGAGGTCGCGCGCGAAACATCCCCGAAAAAGAAGCAGCGCATGCATGCAGACTACGACTCCCTATTTCATCAAGCCGAGAGTGGCGCAGATGTCCCTGCCTGGTTCAAGAATGCACCAGCCGCTCCAGACTCGCCATTCATGCTCCAGACAACGTCCATGTACCTCCCATTGTCTCCCATAACGCTCTCTGACCCGATCGACGGCATTCGAGCCGAACACCTCTCGCCGCTTCTTCTCACGTATTCTCCAATGCTCAAGGGCATTGTCCTCTCTTACGGCAACATTCGGCTGTCCGAACAACCTCACTCGGGCCAGAAGGAAGGCGAGCAAGTCCTCGCCCGATGCGTGGGTGAATACGGGCCATGCTTTGTCTGGGTCACGGTAGATTTCCTGCTCATCAAACCACGTAGAGGACTTACAGTGGAGGGCTGGGTAAACCTGCAGAACGAGAGTCACCTCGGATTGGTTTGCTGGAATTTTTTCAACGTGAGCGTTGACCGCAAGCGCTTGCCGCAGAGCTGGAAGTGGGTTGAGCCAGGTCTGGCTGGTCACCAAAATAGGGCTTCGAATGGAGGTACAAATCACGAAGAGGTGGAGAACGGCTACTTTGTTGATGGCAAGGGCAGAAAAGTGGAAGGTTTTATTCAGTTCAGGCTGCGAGACTTTGAGACAGTGCCGAGCATCGAGAGTGGTACTGAGTTCGTGTCTCTAGAGGGGACACTTATCAGTGATGAGGAGGAGAGAGAACTGGCCGTACGGGAGCTACAAAAGAAGCAAGGAAAGGTCAATGGGATTGTGCGACAGTCTCCACACCCTGTGCCGCTGCCATCTTCGCTGAAGCCATCTGGAGCGACAGATAAGAGTCCTAAGACATCCAAGAGCAAGAAGCCTTGCAAAAAGGACAAGGGCAAAGACTAGTATAGCATAGCCGAATTAAAAATTATTAATTACTTGCATTGATGCTATTCAATGTCTAACGCATTGTTTCTGGTAATACTGTACAGGAGCTTCTTGGCACAAGACTATAATCTCAACAATAACTCTTGATACCGAACTCGAATGCTCATAGGTCAGAGCCCGACTCATGACAGCCCGAAAGTGTCCGCCGGAGTGATTAATATGCTAGTCATTGCGCGAGGCATTGATGCTCGACGGTTCTCCAGGTTGAACAAGCTTCAAGTCAACCATTTCCTCGATGTCAACTTCGATGAAATCCTCCTCTACATCTGCTTCGAGACCATAGTACAAGCGTCGGCCCTTCCAGTCGTACTCCGGTTCTTTACGTTTCCGAGAGCAAGTATCCTGAAGTCTGACGTAGGCTTGTCCTTGCTCAACGTCCTCAACCTTGCCAACATAGTAGTCGCTCATGCCAGGTGACCACCCCGTAGCAGCTGACGCCTCCATTTTCTTGAACGCAATCACGATTCCGGGCTCTACGGCCTTGTTGTCCATATTTGGGAGGTTTTCCAAGTCATCGGTGTTAAGAGTTTCGCTATTAGATGAGGAAATTGTTGTATAAGGCCTGTCTTGTTCGCGGGCTAGCTGATCCTCAGCCGCTTGATCGTCTGCATCGTCATAATTGAGCCGAACATTACTAGAACCATCCCTGCGAGCACTAATCAATCGGTATTCGTCGGTGTAGTCTTCGTACTCTCCGACTCCATTGCCATCTTCTTGAGCTTCCTGGACCTCTTCATCCTCTTCAAGTTCTTCGAACTTGCGCTTCGTGCCGCGCTCTAGGCTGTCCCAGCGTTGGCGGAAAGGAAAAGGCGGCGTTCTTAGGTCTTTGGACTCGCCAGAGCACTCAACTGCCGTTAGGACAATATTTTCCTTCCACAATCCTGAATCTTGCCACACTCCAGTAAGATCGGTTGCGTCCTCTTCAGCATAATGTTCACCGTTCACCATGACTTCAGACGTCAAGCTTGGCTTTTTTGTCTGACCAACACTGGCAAGCTGATGCTTGACTGCTTCTTCCTCCTCTTTCGACTTTGGAGACTTTACTCCAAGGGAGCCGAACACAAAGCGACGGCCAGCAGCAAGGTCTAAGGTTGGCCTCCGTTGAGATTCTTGAGATTGTGCTGCAGTGTTTTGTAAATCAATCGAACGAGTCATCTGTTCTGACTCTTTACCCATAGTACGCTTCTTGCTCTTGCTTAGGCTGCCATTGAACTCGCCAACCTTACCGCCATCCTCTTCTGCTAAAGTGGCCCGCTCCTCAATATTGGTCGCTGCTATTTCTTCCCGGCTCTGGTTTTGTCTATGCTCAGGCATTTTGGAGGCATCTGCGCCCAAAGCACTTTTGAGAACTCCGGACTCTTTGTCTTTGTTCTCACGCTCTTTTGCCCTTTGCTTCTTGAATTCTTCTACGTCCTTTAGGGTTGAATTTTTGGACAAGACGCCACGACGGATCAAGATATCGCGGAGTTTGCTTGCCTTCTTCCTCTCATTGCGCCTTTGACTACGGCTCTTCCATTTTGATTTCTTGAGCGTCAGGTCCCGGACAGATGATGGTTCCAAGTCCATAGGTTCCTCAAAGGATTCTCTCCCAGAAAATCCTTCGGCTAAAGACTCAGAAGAGGGCTTAGAAGAGGGCTCAGAAGGAGGCTCAGATGACGAAACCGACGATTCAGGTGATGATTCGGATCCGCCACTGGAAGCGCGTTCCGACAAATTTTGCGACGACGCACCCAAGAGTACACCACCTGAAGTAGGCGCGTCAGGTGCCCCTTCCTGAATATCTGAATCCTCTTCTGAGCTCGACTCTGAGCTCGAGGATAAAGCGCTTGATTCAGATAAGCCGGAAGAGGTTGACTCGATCCCGGTGTTAGAATCAACATTCTCGGGAGAATAAACTGCAGAGGCAGAATCTGAGGACCCAGGTTCATCGTCTCCAGAGGTGTTATAGTCTTCGTCGAACTCCTCGTCGTCTTCCAGCCGAAGAAGCTGCTGCGTGGCTAAGTCGTGGTGTGCGCGACCTTCGTCGAATGCCTCTGTGAATTGAGCCTCGCCATCACCACCCTGGTCCTCTGTGAGCCTGGTGCGTTTCAGGGGCGGTATTTGGACCTGCGGTCGATTCGACTGGCGCAGAGCAGCACGGCCGAACGGGACGCCGTCAACAAGGTGTTGTCCGTTGGCTGATATTTGGAACCTGCCACCTAAAGTCCTTGCGCGGATCTCAGGCGTTGCCAAGGGCCTAATGCTATGGTATTTGTAAGAACTCTCATCGAAGTGCAAACCGTGCGACAGAGTGCATAACTTACAGGACTTCATCGTCTTCACGAGCAATCTGTGCAAGGGGAAGAAAGTGGAAGCACTCAAAGCCACCGATTTCCACAACATAGTCGTCCAGGCCCCAGTCGTCGGACTCAAGCGGGACAACTCTGTTGACCTGGTCGAGAAATTGCGCAACAGTGCAGACGAGTTGGTTCTCGTCGTCCGGTGCCCAGAGGAACTTGACGGGGGGCAGCTCATGCCGCTTGACAACCAGCCGGAGCCGCATGGTGGGCAGTGATGTCGCCGAAGGACGATGGAGAAGCGGAGTGTTTGTGGCAGAGGAAGAGTTGCTGGAGCTCGTCGCAGCTTCTAGGATTTATTTGCAGATGCGCGGTTAGTGAATTGCGCTAGCCGTGGCTCATAGGTCGTGTGGCGCACAGTGGCTTAGCGAGCATGCAGGTAAGGGCACACCCTACTCCGCCCATGCCCGCTCGTTATCCATAACAGTGCAGCCACCTATTCAGGCAAAGTATCTAGTTTTTAACATCGAACTATGTAGAATTCAACCCCACGAAAGACCAATGGAATAAAATAGAATAAAATAAAGTAAAGTTGGAAAAAAAAAAAAACTAAATTAGCTGGCCTCCGTTTCGATCGGAGGACCTCCGGGTTATGAGCCCGGCGCTCTTCCGCTGAGCTAGCCAGCTTGTTTGAATTTTATACAGGAATTTTTGCATTTATAAAATATATAGTTCATATTAATTTCAGCAGCGCACTCTTCAAACTTCTACATTCGTCTGTTGAGTATCGCGTATTCTGTCAGAAAAGGTATGATTGATTGGCGAAGCTGCAAGTTGGTGTACGCGTGGTTGCGTACGTAAACCACACTACATACACTAAAATAGGACACATGAAACACAACCCATTCTGACGTGTTCCGCATCAGAGTCATGCCTCAAAGCTACCATCATATGTAGTAGGCCCCTATCACCGGGAAAAAACAGGTCATCAAGCCTCAAGAGACTACTTCCGGGACGCCCGGGAACACATGCAATACTTTATCTGTCTCCACTGAATTCTCTTTACAAGGAACTGCTTGCTACATACGAACAAATAGCATGCTTTAATCACCGCACGTTGTAGACCAGGTTATGACCGGAGCTTCGGCCTTCTTCTATAACTAGAGGTATTTTGACGTGAACGGTACATACTCCGTGGATGCATGAACCACCAATAATAACCCCTGTCAACATCATTTCGTCAATGCGCACTACTACTAGATCTGTCAGTGTTTCTTCTTGCTGGCGCAGTGACTTCCTCGGAGGATATACCCGCAACGACAAAATATAATAAGCTAATAAGAGCTAGCGCCGTTTCTCCCTACAGGGTCCAGAATCTTGTATATAGAGCTTGATGTTTGCCCGATTCATGGTCCAGCGTCTAAAGTCTCTCGCCCTCCTAATAACTATCAACATTGCCCCGCGTCTCAGAATGGGGAACAAGGTCTCCTTGCGAGTCTTCTCTGTGAAGGTTGTCTTTCTTCTGCTCCTTACGTATCCTAACATTGTTACCGCGACAGTAACTCATCGACGAGCAGTTATTGATCATGACGCGGTTGTGGGATTTGATCAGACTGTTCCAGACACTTCTATTGGTGAACTCTATCTAACGTATAAGCCATATCTCAATGTCGTCAGTGGCTGTGTCCCGTTTCCCGCCGTAGATGCTGCCGGCAATACAAAGTATGTATATGATGCTACCGTACCCTTCCTTGTCGCAAGTCTAAAGTACTCCATTCTAGTGGCGGACTCAGTCCAACGGGGTCCCCGTCCGGGGATTGCGACAGCAGCGACGGACAAGTTTACGCGCGCTCAGAGCAGTACGGCGAAAACTTCGCAATCATGTACGCGTGGTACTTCCCGAAAGACGAGCCGAGCGATGGACTCGGTCACCGGCACGATTGGGAGAGTGTTGTAGTATGGATCGATGACCCCGACGCACCCGAGCCCGCAATCTTGGGCGTTGCAGCCTCCGCGCATGGGGACTACTCGACGACGACTAGCCCGAACCTCAGTGGTACTAGGCCATTGATTAGGTACTTCAACACCTGGCCGTTGGATCACCAACTAGGCTTCACGTCCACTCAAGGTGGAGAACAGCCATTGATTGCTTGGCAATCTATGACCGATGCCGCGAGGTCTGCTCTCGAGAACACCGATTTCGGCTCAGCAAACGTGCCCTTTAAGGATGCAAACTTCGAAAACAACCTGGCAGAGGCGTCGCTCTAAGCTTTATCGTTGTGAGGGTTTTACCATTCCTCAAGGTCCGATAATGCAACTTGGAGTTGGTGGAACAAGGGCGCTATCACATGTTTTGTGTGCCCACTATAGTATTACCGTATGTAAATCTAATACATGTTGAAATCCCCGTGGCGGGGTCGAGCATGCCGTTTTCTGATTCCTCCAATCCGCCATACGTGATCCCACTCTGTCATTCCTACTCTGTCACTCAAACTCAAAGCTTCAGGCATCAGCTAGTTAATCTCGAGGTCAACTCTTCTTGATGAATACTTTATGCCGCGGTCCCTCGATCCTAATCCCCCCTTTTCTCCCTCTCCTTCCATTTCCTTCCGGTCTGAGCCTCCGTATTCTAGCTAGCAGCAAAATTACCGCACGTCAGCTCAGATGAGCTACGTTGTACGCGTGTCGGCATTCTCAATGGAGAGAAGAGACGGTGAAGTCGAGGTTGCCTTGTCTAGTCCTAGTTCGATGATCCTTCCGCCAATTTCGATACAATGTAAACTCACGGAAATGGGAATGATTCTCGTCTCAGTTACCAGTGAAGTCAGGGATGAGCATGAAATTCAGGAAGCTCCCACCGAATCAAACTCTTGGTGGCGAAGCTTCGGGCGCGGGAATGAAAAATCGAAGCAACCAAGCCTCCTTGTTTGTTGTCATTCTCTTATTTCTGTCCACCCTAGGCTCAGACGTTCCATTAACTCGCTGCCGCCTTGTATCTCCCTGACAGTCTGCCTTGCCTGTAATGGCCAATATCCGGTCTGGCCAAAAGAATAAGCCATTAGATCGCTGCCTATGACGTTGCTCAGGTAAAGGACGCGTGAAGACATAGGAGAGGACAGGACCGAGGGCGTCATGGGAAGGGGTGGCATCGTGACAGCCTGGATACGCATGAATGATGCTTGAAGAGGATGCCCGGCTGCTGGGGATAGCCGGGGATTTCTGTGTTGGGGCGTCGGGGTAGGCTTGCCGAGAAATGAAGATTCTCCTATTTTAGAATGACTAACTGGATCGAATAGGCATCCTCCTCGTTCCCAACAGTAGATGAAGCGAAGAACCGCAAAGCCGTCTATCCTGGGCCTCGATCAACGTTGACGTAGTTCAGGGATTTGAATGATGCCTGATTCAGACGTCACAAGGGATGTCTTGCTTGGACGAAGTACGAGTTGATGTCCGGAGTCAATTCTGCAATCGCCGACACCCCAAGAGCTCGGAAGACTCCTTGATTCTTAAAATCCGTCTGCCCTATCTGCATGACGAGTCATCGGCATCGTCGAAAGAAACAGGGTGTTTGATCACACGGGTCTGTGGCGATCTGGGAGGCATAGTTCATCTCAGCTGAGCATTGGTCGGCCAGTTGGTTTGAGACGGCTAAGAAACTCACCAAGGATTTATGGCAACGATGTTGGAGAGAAGGACACCTCGCCGCTCATATCCTCCGGGATGCCTGTGCTAATCCCAGTGCTTCTCACGCTCTTCATCCTTCAAGTCCATTCTAGATTCATAGTATGAAACTGGAAGATTTCATCCGTCCGAACTCAGTCTGCCTTGCATGAATCTATATCTAGAGTTCAGCTGACCTGCCACCGTACAAAAGGCAATGGGCGTACGAATGGGAGACGACAGCCTGTTCATCCTAGAGAAGTTCCTCTGCATGCACCTGGGCAGACGTAATCACGCGTGCACTCTCGAAGACTGCCTCAGGGACCGCAAGCGGCATCTCTCGATCTCTATTTCATAATTTTGAGCTCCATGTTTGCTCTTTTCCTGTTCGCATGCTTGCCATAGGCAAGATAAACTTCAAATTCTGGAGGGTATTTCCACCAATTCACACGATGTGAATTCGCCAGATCTCCCTTATCTTTGAAGATGGCCGTTATGGTTCGATTCTCAACCCAACAAGCTATTTTGGTCCATGATGGTTAATAGTCGCTTCTGATCACTCCAGTAGGTCCCACTTAGGGTCCCATAGCCCACGGGGCCCGTGAACCTACAGGACCCCATATCCAGTGTCAATAGACTTGGTCTGCCCATTCCAGATCTCCGCTGGAATCTGACAGTTATCCTACCCAGGACACGGCCGGACTTGGCTCTGTTGGGGTCAGAGTTGTTCCTTCGTCAACTGATCCCTCGATGTTTGGGGGTTTCCACTCCAGGCTTGCCGTTCCTGACGCTTGCGGGGCGATGGGCTCAGGACCCGCGGGCGGACTACTCGATACGCATCATAAATGAGTCTTAGTTCGGGGTCATGCTCCGCGATCATCGATGAGAATCACTGCAACTCTGGAGGGCAAACCTGTGCCCATATTGTGGCAGCTCGCCATAGATCAACAACGTTGGCGTCACAGTCTCGTCTCAAGATGTACTCGAGGTAGAATTGACATCATCAAAGTCGCAGCCATAATTAGAGCAATTACGACTTAACTGTGGCCACAGCTCTTTTTCGGAGAGCCAAGCTTCGGGCACTTTTGCTTCGAATCGTGGCCAAGGGCTACCAGCTGGAGGTGGAGTATCACCTGGATCACAGCCACATGGCCAGTGGGCAACCCCACCAATTCAGGGGCTGGGGACCCACCAAACGCAGGGACCGCTGCAGAAGCGGTCATCAGTGCAGGAGCCTCCTTCCTAAACAACGGAGAACATCGATCAAGTAAATCCACCTGCGCCCAATGAAAAGCGCGCGTCAACACTTGATCCTACACTGTAGGCGCACACACGAGGGTTAGTGTTCTCCGAGACGTTCGAGGACCTAATTAGCAGGGGTGACAGCAATCGTAACAGCTATTAGAAGCTACCTGATGGCGGGATAGCAAGTCGCGCACCAAATTCTCCTCCCCCCGGAATCCCATCTCCCGGAATCGCCGAGAAGGGCCTCAAGGAGGCCCGTCGCAGTCTCCGATCCGACCTCCCAGCAGTGTTGCTCCAGTTCCTGGTCCTTCCGACCGTGTCGAGCTCGCTGTACGGCGGTTGGGGTTCTTGAGCCATCGTTGTACTCGGACGCATCAGTGTCGCAGGGATTACTGGGTCTTGTATCATCGATATATACCGTGGCTTGGGTGCGATAGTCCGACTAGGAACTGGGAGCTCGAGCGCGGCTTGAGGTGCTTCGACTTGCTTTGTAGTTTCCGTCAACGGCACTCGCACCACCCCCTGGTTCTGCAAAAGGGCGGGCTCCTTCGGCGCTATCTTCCAGGCATAATCGATCCAGTCGTTGATGTCGCCGGCTTTTCTTTGCACGGTCTAGATTTCCGGGAGGTCTTCGTCTAGATAGCTGAGGAGTCCTCCGTTATGGCAGGCTGAAGACAACCTTCTGCAGTGGCTGCTAGGGTCCGTAGATACCGTGCAACTGTCTATCGAACTCTGTATTATTCCATTTTTTGCGAAGGAAATCTACCACCTTTCTGCGCCGT